TTCAGGACTGCACCGATGAGGCCCAGAAGGCAAAATGGTACTATATGTAGTTCTGTTGTTGTTTGGCATACAAGACTTTACTTTCATGTTCAAATCGAACCCTCCCTTCCTCCCTCCCTCCCTCCCTCCCTCTCTAGGGATGAGTCACTGAATACCGGCACGCATGGCTTAATTTCCGTCCTAGACTGTTTTTTTGGCACCGCACCGTCTGCACAGCAACGGTTTAACAGACAACACAGAACAAAGAGAGCACAAAGTCCAAGACGTTACATGACACAAGACCTTTATTTTTTTTACACCTTCACCGACCCCAAGTTTACATTTATTTATCTTCACTGCATCTAACCTAAAAAAACATATCTTACAAAACAACGTTTTAAAATAATCAGAGGTCAAATTGCATCACAAAAACGATTTTACGTGGTTCATTCCCTTAATCACCTTGTCTCTGGTGTGTCCGAGAAACACGAAACGCCAAACACCAGTCTCTACGTCCTCGTACTCACCTTGGATGCCCCGACAGTTCCTTACTACTCGCCCCAGGCCTCACATCTTTTTCAGATCCTCCTCCACCTCTATCGTGTGTCCCTCGTGTGTTTCGGTTTTCATCAGGTGGAGTGGTCCTCCGCAACAGCGTCTTTCCTGCTTACAACAGTAGCAATTGCTCATGGCAATTCTAGACCTAGAGTGGGTAAATAAAAAAAAGACAAAAAAATATATGAATAATGTCCATTACATTCGTGAAGGATGGTCGGTCGATCGGTCCATGAACAAGCAAATTTCATGGATGGAATAGTAAAATTTTTGACAGTAAATGATTTTTTCCCCCAAACTACATGTAGCTACAAGTGGTTTCATGCTTTTGTTTTTGTGTTCTTGGCAGTGCAAATATTTAAAAACATACAGAGTATATACGTGTAGTGAAAGCCAGGCAAGAGTTCCTACCGAGGATATTTGAAATTAGTTATTGCAATTTAGACTTCATTATTTGGTTCAATAACAAGCTCTTCAAAAAATGTCAACGTCTGATTGAAAGGATTGGATTTTAATAATTGTATGGAGATAGCCTTTTATCTATGCTACAAACATACAAGAGCTAATCACTTAAGCAAAATATTAAATCAATATTGAAATAATGCTCTGCCGAGTTTCACCTAACACGTGTAGAACAGAAATACAAGTATCGATGAGAACAGAATGGAAAAAAGTTATCATTCTACCATGCCTAATGGTCAATTGTGATATTTTATGTCACGTGCAATAACGGACAGAGCCACATTAAAAATAAGCACTTCTACTTACTCCGTTCTGAAGTTTCCAAAATTGGGACCACGTCTCAACATTTTTGAGCAGTACTGGCAGAGACTTTTGCAACGCCAGCAACGGGCGAACAGTGAAGTTTTAACCCTGTCTTCTTCCTCGATATATTTTTCATGCTTCTCAACGAGAGGGGATGGCACTGTTGGGTTACGGTCCTCCCTGATCAATTGCTTTTGTTTGAGGGTTTTTATTCTAGAAGAAACTAGCATCAACAGCTGACTGGTTGCTTCTTCACCTGGTTGCCATCCTCCCAACCTTGAGGGAGATATTTCCCCCAGTTTGGTTTGTAGTTCTGCATTGGCCGTTCACATGAGTTGTCCGAAGAAGGCACTGACACCTTCTAACACTGGGTCTCCTCGAACCTTATGGACTGACCGTAGCCTGGACTGGCAAGAGAAAGAAAATATGGCCACGTCAAGTAAATCGGTGATGTCTTCTGGAAGACGCTTCTTTGAATCGGATGATTTTCCAGAAGGACGATCCCTCAACTGATTCGAACAGGATGCCATCATGGATTCTGATAAAATTAATACGACAGCACCTCGTGTTCATTTCTTTCGTTGACGTGTGAATTACGAAAGTGCACATCTGATTGGTGCAGCGACTGGTGCTGGAAAACGTCACCACCAAACATGGTGTGTTGGTGTGACAGCCACTTCAAATACCATCCCTTCAGGACATTATTCAGTATAGATTTGTTCGTCATGCCTTCGAGCAATCCACTGTCATTTCTGCGTCCTCTTTATGACATTGCTGTATGGCAATTTCTGCTTATGTTGGGCTGTGTTAGTGAGCGCTCGCGTACTGGTAAACCTGATCACGTGAAGTTTACTTATGGTATGCACGAGGTGGTTGCGAATTTCCTGTGCAAGCTGTTGGAAGTGCAAGCCTTTAGCCATTTGCAACAAAAATTGCTGGAGACAGAAGCTCAGGTAGCCACTGGAAATTGGGTACTTGGAGGACAAGCCACCAAAGAATTGGTTCAATGTTGCCAGGATCAATGGAAGAGGAAGAATCCTTGCCTTAGGGAAAGTGCCACTGCCTACGCGGTTAATGATCCATTGACTGTTGCCTGGTATGACAACATTCCATTATGTTACAATTGTGGGATTCCCTGTCCAAATTGTAGGGAGGAATTGGGCAAAGAAGTACCGACAGAAATGTCCGCGTTGCGGGCGTTGTCTTATGAAGACATTCACGCTTCTAACACAGGAGAAGATGACGACGATCCAAATGCCATGGCAGAGGATCAGGGTAGCCCTCCACTTTCCGGTTCCTGATCCCCTGCAATGGCATTTGGATCAGGAACCAGAAAGTGAAGGGCTACCCGCAAGGGACAGCGAAACACCACCAACACCACAACCACGAATGCAATTACGGCCAAGAAAAGCTGCAAAACTAAATTAACTTGCAAACTTCAATGGGAAGGGATAAGCAAACGAAAGGAACAATGGTAATAATTGGTTTCTGAATATTCAAAATTGTTGCTTTACTCAATTCCCCTGAGCTGTTGACAGCTTAACTATTACAGAGGTCCAGTCAAGTTGAATTTCGCTGGCTTCAGGAGCATGAGAGGAAATATATGTACCCTTATTTACGCAGTCATATACATTTAGAGTTCCTCGTTGTGTTACTGTTTGGTTTATCTTTCCTAATTTATACATGTATATAGGGTTTTTCTGTGCTACGGGTATGGTCAATTTATTTGCTGTATTCACCCATGCAGGCATGTGGCATAAGACCCATATTACACCAACCCTGAATCAAAAGTTTTTATATTTACAACTAGGAAACTAGAGCGGTTTTCAGTTGAGTGTCGAAAGTAATTAGCCAATTACTTTGGTTTTGGTTTTGGTTTTACTACAGTTTGAGATTAACTGAGAAGTCTAATTGGTAAGTAATTGGTTTTGGTTTTGGTTTTACGACACTCAATTGAAAACCGCTCTAATTTTAACGTTGCTGTTTACAAGAAAATTTAAATTTTGAATACAAAAGGGATTCCCAAATTACAAGTTGGCTGCTTAGGGGATTAGCAATCATTTTCAAATGCTAGAGAAGGCCACTTACAAGAAAGGCTGCAAGAAGAGCTTTGACTGTATTAGGAAATAAATGTAATAGCAAAACACGGCAAATGTTCAGATGTAAAACCAGAGATTGAAACTTTATTGCATATGTGCTGGAACAACAGCATTAACCCTATAATATCGATATACTGATCTTGGTATTCATTTTATAACTTTACACTGAATTATGTACATTTGATTGTTAAAAAAAAATACACCACTTGAATTTTGTCTAAAATAGAATAAATTTCTTGTATGATCCCTCAAAACATTGACATGTGATGGTCATAAATTATACTCATATATTATACAATTATAGCTTCTTATTAATTTTCATCAAGATCTCAACTGCCTAGTGGTAAAGTATTTGTAAGAAAATGTTATGTTGGATAAAAGTTATCAGGATTTTATTTAATTCAAAAGCATCCAACCTCAATAATTAAAAGTTTTTCAATTAATGTGATTTAGGTTTCTCTACAGGAATACATATCATTTGTAGAAGAAATTAGAGTTAAAGGTGGCTCAAAACAGTTTCCAGCACTTTCGAAGACTTAAATTTTGATGGGTCATTATAACCGTTTTTTATCAATTGATGCTACAATCGTGGTAACAAAAAACTGCCTCATCATCGGTAAACACGTAATTATTTTCGTGACACAACAGATTACTATTGCAAATGTATAACCTGCTAAAAGCAACCTTAATTTTAGCTTTAAGGGCATATAATTCAAAAACTGCGTGGTGAAATATTTTTATATTGTCAAATTTTGAATAGCAGGATAAGATGCAGCTTTTGTAAAAGTTTTAAAAAATACTGTACATAGGGTTTTAGGCAACCTTGGTAACCTATTGTTACATGAAAATGATTGTAACATGTTCACCAATGAATGGGCAGTTTTGTGTTACTGTGATTGTAGCATCAGTTGATAAAGATTGGTAAAAATGATCCATCACAAAGTGCTGGAAACTGTTTTGAGCCACCTTAAATTAGTAATAGTTGTCCTGGGTAATTAATCATGGAATCTTTCTGTTGCTATTTCTTAAGGCACTAATAAAACATGAGAACTGTACATTATGACAAAAACATACTTAAAACAGCTTTGACTGTTACATTCCATTATTGCCACAAAAGTGTTTTGAGACTCCAACAGCCTGAATTACTTTTCCGATATGTCCTCTGTCCACTTACTCCTAAACAAGTTTTCTGAATCAAATGGCCACTAATGTCATCCAGAGATACATCACTGTCAAAGACCAAACAGTTGATTTCCTTGGTTGAAATATCAAAACATTTGAGTTAATAATGTCAACAAGCTATGTCCTAAAAAGGAAAATGACTTTTTTCATTTCCTGCCTACAAAACGTGTAAAATTTATCTATCATTGAATTTTCTTGCTAGTTCTTCAGTTTGAGATATCTATTTCTTTGCAGTTCAACCAAATGGTGTTGGACAAAAAGGAATATAACCTTAATTAGTACAATCCAGTGACAGACTGTAAGGCAAACTTATAATCCAATTGGCATTGCAAGGCAGGTTGAATTTTTGATAGAGTGCCCCCAAGGCACATGCACTCAGGTAAAATTACAGAAATCAAAACCAAAACAATAAATAATGAACACTTTCAATGAACATTTAGTTGTGAATGAATGGTCTCTGGATTATACTAATTTATTATCTAAGAGGTTTAAACATCCAGAGTTGGTGGTCCAATGCTGGGGTCCCATCATGCTGTTCTTTGATTAGTTCAGCCCTAGCATCTTGAGTGTACAACTCAAAACTATTGGACTTCCTGATCAAATACAAAATAAGTTAAGAAATAATTTAGAATGAAAATTAGCAATGTAAAACGTGAATGACATTCCGATGACTCCATGTCATCATTATCAAGTTCAAAATACTTACAACATTTAAAGTGTTAAAGAAATGATGCACAAAATTTGACTGCTTGATCTAACAGATGCTGTTCATTAGGAACATAAAACCAAAACTTAACACACAGTCAGATTCAGGTCATGCCAAACTCTTGACATTACAATTGAATACTTTAACACCCATTTAATTCCCCAACTATTATCACACTATTTTTACTATTTATATTTACTCAATTCCATCATGTGTTTCGAACTTGATAATGATGACATGGAGTCATGGTAACGTCGTTCACTTTTTACATTGCTAACTCTCATTCTAAAGTGCTTTAAAGAGCCTTTATAAATTATTAACAAGTTTTCACATTTTCAACAAAAACGTGACAAGAATAATTCCCCTTTTAAAACAATTTATGGATTGAGAATGAACACAAAGATATCAAGAGTGCTTCAACCCCCAGTTGGTGGCAAAACTGTCTTGAGTTTGCAAGTTTGTTTTTTTTGTAGTTATTGCCAATCCTACAAGCAACATTATTTTGCTCTTCTTTAGAAAAGATCAGAAGACGGTCACACAGGGGTTCTCTGGCACAGTTCACAAACGGATAATTAAAAGTAGAGAATTGTGGATAAAATACTTTCCTTTTTCCAGGTCATACAAATCCTTCAGGTCATGGATCACAAAGAAAAATTTCTTAAAATTTGCATTTCACAGAAACTAAAATCAGCTGCTACATCACACATCACAGGAATACCCCTGTACTATACACATGTAAGAACAAAGTACTTTGCTGATGTCTGTCTCATTGTACTAGTACTACCCTGATCAAGTTAAAACATAGAAAATCACAGTTATGAAGAAGGTTTGGATACCCAGTCCTAATTAGCATAGATTTTGATGATTTCACTGTCTATCATGTTTGATATATTACTGTCTCACATACTGTCTGCCAGCCCTTTTGATGGTGCTATCATCAGCTCCACAGCGGGCAGCCCATTGGGCTGCTGATCTTCTTATGCTATGAGTAGTAAAATCCTTTTCAAAAAGTGTCTTGGAAATCTAAAGGAGAATTAGGAAAGCCATCAATAATACAAAATAAACTACGGAAACAGTACAGCTCTTATGATCAAAGAAAGATGGCACATTTTACATCATTGAACAACTTTTTGTAAAAATGATTCACAACTATAAATGGCAAACCAATTATCAGGTATGTAAACACAATGGATAATGATTTTTGTATGGGTGGGCATCAAGTGCCAAATTAAACAACTCAACAGCGAGTTGAGTACCATGGATTTCACTCTAGACACTATGATATTCAATCAATACAAAAACCTGGTCACAGTAAATAATATACCTGGAGAAAGGTTTTCCTGTAGGTTGTGACACCACAAGCTGAGTTCCCATGAACTGCATGGTTGTTTTTAGCTACCCTTGGAAAAAATGAAACCTTTCCTAATACCTGCTTGAGACCCAAAAAAAAATCAAGAGCTATTAATTAAATAGATGCCAAGATATGCTGCTCAAAATATCTTCAGAACGTAGAGAGAAAAGAGCTCATTTACCACAGTTAAAGGAACTCTAGTTCCACTTTTAATACTGCGAATAAGGTTAAACTTAACAAATAATCCACCAACCTGTTATCAACAACCACACAAGAAGAGCGGTTACGGGACATAACTCAGGGTTCAATGGGTTAGCCCAAAGAGTGAGTGTCACCCCTGAAATGAAAAGATTGCAAAATATTCTCAGTTGAATTAATGACTGCTAAAGATGGTACCATTAAAAGATTGTAGTCTGTTTTGAGAAGTCTAAATTTTAAAAGTGTAAGCATGGGAAGTTGAAAAGAAGTTAGGGAGTACATTTTTTTGGAATAGGTTATAGTTGTAAATCAACTTGGCAATAAATGGTGGTCCTGCGCCTTTTTTTTATTACAATTCAGGATTGATTAATGTTCTAAAATATAGTTAATATGGCTCACATATTTTGCCTTTGGAGAGTAAGGAAAAAAACACATACATGTACATGTATTCACCATAATATATTCCATGTTCACCATGTTGCAATAACTAAATTTGTGAAGTATAAACCCAATAAATAATCCAGCTTTTGCTTTTCGGTCTGCTTTTGACCATGGTAGTTTTATGTCAATTCTCTTTGGCAATTCACCAGAATCAGCTGCGAAATGAAAAGAACCAATTATAACAATGTTGGAAACTTGAAATTACAATCCTGTCAAGGAGCACTTCTAACTGAAATACTCTCAAGCTAAAAATCTATGTCATAAACTCACAGTTTTGCTGCTAAATGCTTTCTCTGGCAGATTAAAAAATGATACAAATGGCCATTGCACATTGCAGAAAAGATTACTTTCAACATTGAGCCTTCTGTAATACCTGCAAAGTTGGCTGGCAATTTCAAATGCCTCACTTTTAATCTGAGTGGTTCCTCCCCTCTTAGGAACAAGGCGAAAGAAAACAATGTTATGCTCCAGAGCCACATGCCACGCATACCCTGAAAAAGCAAGCAGAGTTTACATACCAGTAAATCAGAAATGTATTAATATGATGTAAACTCTAATACTGGTACCCTATATTCTATACTGATTTGCATAACATACATATAGTAAACATACAAAAACTTCCTGATCAGTTTTCCTAACAACTGGGTTGTTTGAAAATTTAAAGTAGACCATTGTTTGTTTGTTTGTTTATTTT